ATCTAAACATGTACAGTCTAATATTTGTTTTCCAGCCGATGAGTTCTAGCTTCAGAGAGATTCAGCAGCTGAGATTGAGTCCAAAATCCGATGTGAGATTCATCCGTGCTGCAGTGAATCCGTCTCTCTTTAAAGATATCTCCCTCTTCTTCCTCACATCGTGTCTTTAGAAAACCTTCAAAACAAAAACGGAAGATTTGGGATGTATTATGTTTGATAGAGTGAAAGAATTATAATATTTACCACCTGTGTAAACTTTGCTGGTGAATGTTACAACAAATAATATAAGTTTTATAAWATACGCTGCTCAGAATGTGCTAAAAGGTACAGAGAAAAATAAAGTGTTCCAGCTTGTAAAAGATATTGCTTCAAAGGGTGTCACTCCACATACCTATTCTTCGAGAGCTGAGATTCTGAGCTCAATAYTCAGCCCTGTTCAGTTGAAGTCTGGTGTTCATCATGTTGATGCACAGTGCCATGTGTCCACAGTTATTCAAAATATAATGACAGAAAATCCAAGTATTCACTTCACAAGACAGTGCTCCTCTCAGTACTGTAAACTTCACATTCCAAATACAAGGAAAGTACCTTTCATTTCCATTGACTTGTCAGTTCTGTCATCCTCTGGCATAGCTCAGCTTCAGTCTGCTGTTGAACAAGAGCTCCACCTTGCAGCATCTCCATGCCTCAGACCAATCCAAAGTCCTGATACATGCCCAGCAGCATGTAAAACAGACATGTCAGGAAAAATCCTCTGTATGGGGACTGTTTGTCACAGTCACAGAGTGCGAGAACTTGTCTGGATTGACACAGACCTTGGACAATTCTGGGCCACAACTGTGGAGCAAAGTGTCACCAAACCCAAGCAGTTTTCCCTCAGTGAATTTCCATCAACCCTTCAACTTCAAGAACAGAGATTCACACTGAAAGCCATCATAGCATTTCAGGAGGGTCCAACGCCTGAAACAATTGGGCATTACGTGGCATTTTGTAAGACATCCCAGGGTACCTGGGAAATGTACGATGACCTCAGAAAAGAAGTAATGACACCATCTGAAAAAACCAGCATATGCCCTCACGCTGTGCTCTGTACAAAAAAGTAATGGTGAGTTTTCCTATTTTCGTCACCAGCATGTTAACGTTTTTGTCCAATTGAATACATAGTTAATTTAAAAATTTGTTCAACTCAAGTTGATGTTTAGTAATCTTTCATATTAAATAAATTAGCCATATGTTGCTGTGAACATAATGCAGTACTAACATGGCAGGGCATTAATGTTAGTTGATGAAGGTTTTTCAACATGGATAACACCAAAAATAACATTTATTGTACCAGAAGGGCAACTGTCAGCACTTGGTGACACAAAACATAAAGGTTGAATGTAGTGTTCTTTAAACAAATTAATCTTTTATTGTAGAATGTTGTTGAATATTCTGTGCTRTGAATTGTAAAGCCAGATAATCAAGATAAATAAAAGTCATTTGCAAACATTTGTKATCATGAGTTGGTWATAATAAAATAAGTGAAGCTTCTCTGATTTAAGGTTTCTGTAATATTTTCAAAGCAAAATCAGCACGCTTGACATCAAAAAGTTTAAATTTAAATTTTTACCTTCAAAGCCATAGCAAACCAGCACAAAAATAGTCAGGTTGATTTACACCCATTTTGCCTGATTTGAAGAAGGGTTTTGTGTGTGTGTGTGTGTGTGCGTGCGTGCGTGCGTGCGCGCGCGCGCGCGTGTGTGAAGCTTTCAAAAACAGATTTGCCCATCAAAAACTGCATTGTAGTTTTTCTGCTTTCCACTATTAAAATGGTATGGACAAACAAAACCACACAGTAGTTGGAAGGTTAAATTCAAAATGTTTCTGAGAGGTGTGACGGGAAAAGATTTAGCCAAAGAAAACTACTGTTTCTGTGAGCGGAGTGAGTAATCAGATAACAATTTTTGACAGACGTTGCAAAATGTAATTATCACATAGAGATCACACCCAAGTTGTTGTAGATACGTTTGTGTGTTTTCAGCTCTGACCAATGTACTCATGAAATAAGATATTTTATATTTGTGTGAGTTTAAATGAATTTAAAAGGAGAAAACTTTGAAAGGTCTTCTGTAATCGGCCACATGTAGAATCGGAAACAATTTAGTTGGAAATAGTCTTCAAGAACCGTTCCTTGATCAAGATAAGAAGTTGAGGGGCTTGTTTGTCATCAGTCATTCTACCACCGAAAACTTTTATTTATTTATTTATTTATTTATTTATTTATTTATTTATTTATTTATTTATTTATTTATTTATAGCTCTGTGGTGCTTGGAAAATGATACAGCCCTACAAATATGGCAGTGATCCAAGAAAACTCCTCAGGCAAAAAGTTTTACACAACCATGAGTCATTTTTTTATTACAGAGACATGGCATGTGCAGACTGATTCAGAGGGAGATAGGCGAGGTTTGATGAACACAAGAAGGAAGCAACTCTTAACATTCTTCCAGCTCAGCAGCATCGAGAATGGAAAAATACCAAATATCGCAAAGAAATGATACAGGAAACATACATTTTAACCTCAACTTGCTGCCTAAACACAGGTGAGTCCCAGCAAACCATTTTTTTGGGCAGATAAGTTGGATTCATGATTATTCGAAGCTCCTCTTGTGATAATAAAGAAAAGTTTGACGTCGGCATGAGCCAGAAGCAAACAGACGTGAAGCTGCTTTTGTTTCACCAATTTAAATTCAGTCTGATATTAAAGAGGGTTCAGACACTTTTTAAATAAACTAAGATGTTCTATGAATCTGGTTAATGTTTGTTGTCTTTTCTGATCTGCTGTGTCGGCCATCTTGAAATGTTTTAGATGTACATCTAATCTAATCGAATCGGGTCGGCTCTAATCTGATCTGATCTAACATTTCTGATAATTATCTTAAACTTTGTTCAGAGGCTCATAAGATTCTTTCTTAGTAGAAAAACACAAAAAGTTACATGATTGTATACTACTTGGTCATTAAATATTAAGTGCTGGATCTCGAGATGATTTTCAGTAAGTCAATTTATATATATAT